TTTTTTTTTTTTTTTTTTTTTTTTTTTTTTTTTTTGCTGGGGCCTTCCCTGGTCCTTGCACGGGCTGGCCACCGGTGGACCCGGGCGGCCCGGCTGGTAGCCTAGTTCCCCTTATAAATCTTGCTCCTCCGAATTCTTAAATTCAGCACACTGAGGGTGGAACAAGAGTCCCGACTCCTTGATGATCAGTTGGTGTCAACAGACCTCCTACCCGAGGTTCCCTGGGACTTACAATGGTTCCCGCCATGGAGGCTGGCACCAATAGCCCTCCTGACGGCACGTGGATTCCCAATCTGCCGTTTCTGTGATTGGCCCCATGAGTCCCATTGATGCTTCGCAATTTGGAGCTCCCCCAATTGAGTAAAATACCACAGTTCTCTATTACCTAGGGTAGGTCAAAACCATGACATCTATAGGAAAAATGCGCAAGCGTCATAGTCATACACAACCCAAGCTCACAATTGAAACCCCTAACCCCTAAACCCAAAAAAAAAAAAAAAAAGGAAAATATGAAAAGTTGAGAACCCATTTAAAAATCAGCTACACCTTGTGTGACATCCCCCTTACCCAGATTCTTCATTTCTGACCTTTGATCTTCGCAATCTATGGCCAGCAGAATAAAAAATAAAAAAAATAAAAAAATTCCGACCATGAGTCTTTTTAATCTATGGCCACAGCTCCCCCCAAAGTMCCCCGCCACCACCGCCTCATCCCCTCCCCACCCAGACGTAGTCACTGATGACCACCTCCCACCTATATCCGATAGGAAAGGTGTACGGGGTCTTACCGTCTAGCCGCTGGTACTCCACATCTGCACGGAGAATTCAGTTTCACTGAGCCCATGTTGGAGACGGCGGGGCAGTCGTCACACCATTCGTGCAGGTCGCTACTCGTGTGACACCAGGGGGTGTAAAAGCAGAGACAACTACACATCGGCCGAGGCGTGAGGAGTCGTCGACAATGACAGAAAGGAGAACAGAGAACACACATCCGCTCAGTCCTGGCAGCAGCTTCTCAGCTGCTGGAGCAGGCTAAGAAGCCACAAGCCGGAACAGAACCTCTGAAACCAGGAACAGAGCCTCTAGAACCAGGAACAGAACCAGGACCAGGAACAGAACCTCTGAAACCAGGAACAGAACCTCTGAGGACACAGGTGGCAGTCCAGTCCAGCAACGGCACAACTCTCCAAGAGAAGTCATCCCAGCAGAGACAGAGGGGCCACATAAATCACACCCCCGGCAAGTCGAACCTGAGACCGCCTCTCTGTGGACGGAGACAGAGTTCACACCTATGTTAAAGGTAGGACCGCAACTTAGAGGAGAGGAATCCGAGGCTGAATATCCGCAAAGTCCAGCTCTCCGCTATCTGTTCCATGTGCCTTTGATTCAAAGCATTTTTTTGTACCAAAAAAAAAAAAAAGACCAGAAGCAGTTCGCTTACGTGACGTTTCAGGGGAAGTGTTGTTGAATTGAGGAAACGAAAATGTCCAAGATTATTCCGTGTACAATAAGCGACGCTGTACCTGGTTTCCAGCAGGTGCAACTCCCCACAATACAGTAGAGGAGCGTTCGAACAGGGAGCCAATTAGGGATATGGTG